TGGGACCAAGAAAAACAATCTATGTTATCAATAAGAAATTGGACAAGTTTTTGCCTGAGATCGGGGTTCAGCCCCATTCCCAGGTATACCTTTCTCTCGGGTAGACGTTCGATTAATATAACCTGCTCCAGTTCTTCGATCGTTGACTTGGTGGCGTCGGAGTCGTTAGGGACGATGAGAGCTCGAGGCATCGGAAACTCTTCCTCGTTATCTTCTATTTCCTGCTTCACCGATTCGGTTGAGACTGGTTGCTGTGATTGCTACTTGGTTTCCCGCCTATCTTTTGTGCTCGACTTTTCTGAGGCCGATAACGTTGGTATTGGTGTTATCTCATCGACCGCAAATATTTCCTTCGCAGCATGTTGCTCCCCGTACACTGTCTTTACGCCGTCCGACATAGGGAATTTCATCACTTGGTGTAAAGTCGAAGGCACTGCCCTCATATTGTGGATCCATGGTCTTCTGAGTAGGGAATTGTACCTTATATCGCCTTCGATTACGTGGAACTTGGTGTTTTGGATGGTTCCAGCTACATTTACAGGCAGAATAATTTTCCCTTTAGTTGTTTCACTGGCTATATTGAAGCCGTTTAAGACCCGAGTTGCGGGCACGACTTGATTCTGTAAACCGAGCTTCTCCACTACCCAAGATCGGATGATATTCGCAGAGCTACCCGGATCCACTAAGACACGCTTAAGTTGAACTTTATTTAATAGGATAGAAATTACCAGAGTGTCGTTGTGAGGTTGAGAGATGCCCTCGGCTTCTTCAATTCCGAATGATAAAGTGCCCTCGGGTACATATCCTCGAGTTTGTTTTTCCTCTGCGGCCGTAATCTTGCCGTATTTGAGCACGGGTCCCTGTGGAGTATCGACCCCACCGATGATCATTTGGGTGATATGCAGAGGTTCCTCTTGTTTATCTTTTTTGCTGGCATCCCTTTATCTGAAGTGATTCTTGGCTCGGTCACTGAGGAACTCTCGAAGGTGGCCCTCGTTGAATAGACATGCTACCTCTTCTCTCAATTGTCTGCAATCCTCGGTCCTGTGGCCATGCGTACCATGATACTTGCACATCGAATTCGGGTTCCTTTGGGAGGGTCAGTTTGCATGGGTCTGGGCCACCTAGTGTCTTTGATTCTTCCGATCGCTGATACACTGCCTGATGCGTCGACGCTGAAATTGTACTCCGATAGCCGATGTGCTTCTATAGGATCGGCATATTTATCAAAGCCATTCTTGCTTATAAGCCCCCGAGAGTTTTGCCCTCGATCATTCCTTCGATTGTTCCGAACGGCACTACGCGTTGAACCGTTGTTCATTCGATCTGCGACGTACGGTTGATATCGGTCTCTGTTCGACCTTTACTCTCTGTCGATGTCCCTCTGGTTTTTAATAGTTGTCCTGTTCTGATGCATGGATTCGGAAGGAGATCCCAACTGGTCGTCTTCGACTCTAATTTTTGACTGATATCAGTTGTGTACATCCGCCCAAGTTATCGTTGGATACTCGATCAAATTTTGCTTCAGCTGACGTGATGCTACTGAACTTTGCCCGTTCAACCCTTGGATGAACGCTTGGACCGCCCAGTCGTTTGTGACCGGTGGCAATTCCATGCGTTCCATTTGAAATTGGGACACGAACTCCCTCAATATTTCATTTCCTCTTTGCTTTACTTTGAAGAGGTTTGATTTCCTTGTTGCAACCTTTATGGCACCAACATGTGCCTTTACAAACGAATCCGCTAACATGGCAAAAGAATCGATGGAATTTGGTGGCAGATTATGATACCAAATCATCTCTCCCTTCGAGAGGGTTTCTTCGAACTTTTTTAATAACACGGATTCGATCTTATCGTCTTCCAAATCGTTACCCTTGATAGAACACGTGTAAGAGGTGACGTGTTCGTTGGGATCGGTCGTGCCATTATACTTGGGAATTTCGGGCATGCAAAATTTTTTGGGGATTGGTTTTGGGGCTGCACTCGAGGAAAAAGGCTTTTGTACGAATTTTTTCGAATCCAAGCCTCTTAACATTGGTGGAGCTCCCGGGATTTGATCGACCCTGAAATTATATGTTTCTATTTTTTTATTGTTGGCCTCGACTCGTTTTGTGAGTTCCTCGAGCAGTTTAGTAATTTCGGGAGTAGTCCCCGATTCTTACTCGTTTGACTTCACTATGGTTGGTTCCATCCTGTGGGTGATTTCTCGAAGAGAATTGGGCTCCGGCCTGCTTTGTACCTGAGTTTGGCTCTGCAATTGAGCTATCGCTATTTGCTGGGCTTGTAATATCTCGAAGATCATCCGTAAGCTGACTCTGATCTCCTCCACGTTATGAGTGTCTCGAGCTACGAATCGAGAACCGCCCTGAATGCTTTTTTCCGGTTCAAAACGTTGGTTCGCCTCAAGATCCACTTGTGAATTGACATCTAGTGATATTTCGACTCGAGCTTCGGTCACATCATTAATTAGCCTTCCGGCCCTAGGTGTCAAGTTGTTGGTTTCATCTTGAAGGCCGACGTCGTGGTCGATAGGTAAAGCCATCAATCGAGGGTTTGCCATTGTTGATTTGAAGTTGTAAACTGGTGTGTATTGAAGATTTGTATCAAACACAACCACTATTACCCTTATCCCCACGGTGGTCGCCAAACTGTTTACCCAAAAAATCGGATATAGTTGAATTTATTAGTAGTTCTAAGGATATGTGATATAGTTTGACGTAAGTCGTACTAGAAGTGGAGATGTTTAGATTCCTGGCTATAAAAACGGGATATGAATTATTGAATGAGGAGAGTGAGTATGTTGAGTGAAACAAGCTCAAGAGATATATTCTTCAATAAATAGAAGTAGTCTTTTCTTATAATGAGTGAACTTGCCCTGTGCTTAGAGGGATTCCCCCTTTTATAGTAGAGGGATCTTACTTTATTTACAATAAAAAATATACAGTGGATAACCCATGATGAATTGTCTCTTCCTCGATTCCCGCCAACATTCTCTCCCCTAGTGCGGTTACAACGACTCTTGTCTGTGAACTCGATACTGGCTCGAGCTCGTTATTGGGTCGAGCCCTCAGCCTTGGTTCGAGTTCGACATTCAGGGTGAGTGTCAATCGATCTGTGCGTCTCCGACTACCTTCACGTTGCCTTGCGGTTCGATTTGGTCATGGGCTCGATAATGATACCGAGCCGACTCCTCGATCGGTCTTGGAGCTCGAAGCTTGTTTGTACTATTTTCGGAACTCATCTCGAAGTCTCACTTCGGTCACTTACCATTCGAACCTGATCAAACATACGAGGGCCGAAATCTATTTCGACTGTATACAATTGTCACCATCCAAAACTGAACGGTCATGACCGACACTTGGTGAGTTGATGAATTGCTTAATACTACAGTGTAGGCTATGTTTCTTTTCCCCCAAAAAAAGGAAGAAGAAAAAGAACACAGTTCTTTTTAAAAACAAAAATAACACAACTTTTCAAACAAACCACAATATATATTCTACTTTAGTAAAAAAAAAAAAAAAATTACTTGTGTACGATCAAAACCGATTGAGTCAGTCGTACGGACTGATTGAGACGGCAACACTTCGATCGAAAGGTATCTACGTAAGGTCAGGTCGAGGTCCGAAGAAAGGGCTTCAGGATTCGAGCTCCAAGTCTGATCAAGGATCAGTTCGGCATCATTATCGGGCCCATGACCAAATCAAACCATGAGGCAAAAGGTTGTCGAAAATGCACAGACCGACCAACACCCACCTCGAATATCAAGACTCCGAGTCAGGATCCAGCTCGAGTCAAGGCCAATGGCTCGACCCGATATCGAGTTCGAGTCAGTATCGAAGCTCATATTTTTTATTGTATATAAAGTAGGATCTCTCTACTATAAGGAGGGGGATGAGTTGTAAGCAGGGACACATTGTAACAAAAGATTTCTTCTTATATTGAAAGTTATCCCCTTGTGTTTATTTCATTTTATCTTATTTGTTCTTCTTGTTCACTGTTCTCATTCTCATAGTCAAAAATACATGTATTTCTATTTCTCTATACGATTTGTATCAAATTATATCGCATATCCTTAGAACCATACACAAATCTAACTCTATCCAATTTTTCGGGTAAACACTACTTTAGAAATGTTGCAAGGGATCCGAATCAAATGAATGATTCTAAATTATAACTAAAATCCAAAAGTCAGTAGAATAAATTACATAAAACGCTTTGCGTGTTGTCAACCTGAAACTTAGTTGGACCCAAATCCTCCAGAAAATATCTCAGGATATTGTCCAAAATGTCAGGTTATAATTAGCAGTATATAATAGGCGAGAATCTCGTCATTTTAGTAACTGAATTACTTGTAACAATTAAGCCCCTTTGCATGAAGTTTTATTTTTATTTTCATGATTCAAATTTCTAAATCTATAAACTTTCTTCTCCCCAAAATCCCTACCTTCGAATGAAATATTATTTTCATAAGCACCATAAAAGTTTCTTTTTTGTTCTTACACCTTTTTGTATTTCTTAGAAACCAAATAGTGGACTATATTGTGTTTCTTGTACTTGATAATTGCATTGTTAAAATATTTTGTTGAAGCTAATGTGAAGAAAAAATAAAATTAAAACATAGGTCAAAAATACATTTCATTCTTTCCAACCTAACGAAATTCTAACAAGATTTTCAGATAGCGACTTTTTCTTTTCAATTTGAAACTAACCCACCAAGCGAATTTTAGTTTAACAATGGTTAAGGGATTGTTTAGTCTAAATGAATCATGACCCTTAGATCTAAAAATGAACAGATGTCATTAAACTAGATGCGCACCGGTGGAACTGGAGGGTTACTAAACTGGAGGTGAGCCAAATCCGAGTATTTTAACACAGAAAATGATACTATACAAGTACAACAACCAATATACATCCAACACCTTACAATGTAAGACACGAAAAATTTTTTAACACTCCATTTAGATTATAATTACTCCTGAAAAATAGGGGGGGGGGAAACATATGCCAATTTGGTTCTTTTTTTTCTTCTACTTTTTCCATTTTGCTTTTATTCATCAACTCAATAAAATTACAGTTGCAAATGCTCGAAGTTATGGAATTTTCTTATCAGAGAAGTAATAATTAAATTAGTGGGAACTTAGTCTTTCAGGAGGTCCAATAAATAGCTGTGTCTCTACATCCACTGTCTCTCTCTGAAGATGTTCTTCTTGTTGTCGATCAGTAAATAAAGGCAGCGGTCGGACCTCATTCTGTAGAACAGAGAATGTCTAGCTTTTGTTACATAGTCATTGAAATAGTACACATTAAGAAAATGGAGACAAGTGATCACTAAATAGAACATTCTACAATACAAATGAAGGTGTAACTTCGTGAAGACAGAGTGTGGGATGAATAGGACCCCCACCACCCTAATTATCAGAGATTTCGAGTTCAAAATGAAAAAATTCTGACGGGGACACTACCCCTTTTAGGACCTTACCATGGCGCACATCCAAATAAATCTGGACCCCATGAGGGTACCAGACCTCGGGTAGGAAATCGAAAAAAAAAAAATGAACTAGGTTCATATGAATTTTCTTAGTTTCATGTATTAGGAAACTAATACTAAGATGTATGCATGGTTTAATCATGAACTGGGGAAAAAGAAAAGTTTAGAATAAAACTAAGGTATATGTGCTAGCTAGACTACGCACATGCTAAAAGAAGTACTATAAATACTTAGACACTATACCCTTTTTTGGTAAGTCAAGTTGAAAGCTTTCCTCCACTTGTCTTCAAATAAAATGAGATTGAGAGTCTCCTCCCCGAATTTCTAACAGTTCTAATATGAGACTTTACTGAAACTCGTGATCTTAAATAATACTATAATATTTGTGCGACTATAAAAGTTTGTCATTAAAAATCCCTAAATTTCGTGTCGAGCCAAACTATATATGTCAAACGAATTGAAACAAATGCAATATTAGATATGTAATGTATGTTAAGGGCGTTGAAATTCAAGTACTAACTCACCTCTTTCCGCAATTCTGCATTTTCCTCCATTAGGACTTTTTCCTGGGACAAGAGAATAAGGAAACTCTGAAGCAATTAGTACTTGAATGATCTCACAGTTATTTTGAACTGAATTGTTGATATGTAAATAGAATAAAATTAAACAGATTTTATGGATATAATAAAGTATGTTTTAATGCATTTACCTCGTCCTTTAGAAGAGCAATATGTTCCCTCAATAGTTGGTTCTGGAGTAAAACAGAAGAAGATGGCAAAATATTATTCAAAAGTGTCGGACAAAAGTACCGCATTTTTAAAGGATAAAATACGGGTGTGGTACAGTTTCGAGAGTCCCAGCAATATAAATAATAACCTATGTTGCACAGACTCTCCAAAATAATACCGCATCCATGTTAGATCCTTAAAAAATACATTACTTTTCGAGGATCCGAAACGCACCCGAAAATATTTTTGGAAAGTTCGAGCAATATAGATAATTACTGCAAAAGGAACAAAAATAAATACAGCAATATAATGATATATAATATTGTACCTTTCTTGCCCTAATGTTTCTTAAACTTCGGTCTAACTGTTCTTCTACCTTTTCAAGTTCATCAATGGAGCAAGAATCTAAATCTTCTCCTAAAATTCTTCTGCAATGAATAAGAAAAACTCGTCAAATTAACATTTCAGAATCATCTCTGCCAATCTGTTACGCGGTTTGCAATACAAGGATAAGGAATCTTATTGCTTAGCTTAAAATTTATGATAATGCAGCATTGGAAAGTAGTAGAGAAGAAACCTTTTAGAGTTTTCTAGAAGCTCCAGCTTCCTACTCATAGTAGCAACGTCCTCTTTCAAATGCTACAAAGCAATTTAAAGAAGAAGTAGCATTCAGTAATATTTCTATGGCTAATATAATTCTGTTTACTTCCGAGCTTTCTTCGGCAAGAGACAATAATGAAAAAGGAAATGCATCTAACAAGAAGTAGTATTACAAAGTTTCATGTGCATGTTGAAGACGTAATTAAGTAAATAAGAGTGTGCTCTTTCTAAAGCTTAAAGCGTGTAGATGAGATGGACATACACTTCAACATGATATCAGAGCAGACAAAGGTCTTGAATTTCGAGTTTCACTGTCATCCATTATCAAAAAGAATTTTCACGTGCATGACTCATAAAAATAAAATAGAATCAAGCCCTCACGTGAGAGGGCGTGTTGAACTCTCTCCAATAGCTTAAGTTTTAACATGAGATTGTGAGACACTTCAACAAAAAAACTCAATCCCAGATTCTTATATTAAGGAGTAACCATGTTAGAAATTCATTTGCTATGAGAGATAAAGATTGTCTTAATTCTGTCCAAAATTTTCCGTCCTTGTGGTATATTTGCCAGATTTTCTGTACTTGTTTTTCGAGGTTTTAAGTTCAAGTTCGTTTCAGAGATCTTTTGCTCCTATACTTAATATCTTAATGCTGTTTCCTTTTTTTTCTTTTACACTACCAGAATTTGTTGATTTTTGTCCAATTAGGGTTCCGAGATTTTTATGTTTCTTGCATATGTTCTTTCCGGCTTCTTTCTATAATTTGGTATCTCAGTATCTGCTTGAATTTGCCAATCTGGCAGCGCACTACCGCACTGATTACATTTTACAGTTTGCTGCATTTTCATGTTTGGCTACTAAAGGAAATTTTATGGTTTATATACCTCGAACAAATCCCAAAGCTAGATGACCAACAAAACAACAATATTGGTCCATACTCAATATTATCTTGCCTAACTTTGTTGACAATTTTGTTGAAAAAAAATAGGATGGGAGGTGCCTAACTTGTTGAAAAATTATAGGATTAAATTAACAACAAGTCATCTTCTTTGTAGTAGTTGGACGGCATCTTTTACTATAAATAGATGCCTATATTCTTCATTTCAATTACATCAAAATAAGAAAAAAACAATAGAAGTTAGAGAGAGTAATCCACAGATTGTAGTCTGTGAGATAAATAGTGTATGTGAGTAATATTGCAGTGAGTTGTTTTTAAATAAAGAGTATTATTTCTTTCAAAATTGTAATAGTCTCTTGACACTACTAAGTTGTAATATTATAGTGGTTATATTGCTCCGCTCGGGTATTATATTTTACCCCATTAAAAGAGTTGATGTCGTTGTTACTCTCTTGTGTTATTATTATTTGTTGTGAATATTATTCCTCGACGGGATTATTATTTTTCCCAACACAAATAAGATGTTTAAGTACAACCATTTAATTTTTAATTGTGTGTTTAAAAGAGTTTTATAAAAATAAATTTGCGGCCAACCAGACTTCCAAATTGATGAGCAAAGCTTGCGGGTAGCAAATTTTTGTGATCAAATCTTGACGGATTGATATATTTTGTCAGATAATCCGATCACCATAACTTACTGTATGGAAGCTTCATTAACACGTTGTTGTTTCAAAATTGTTCCAAATCAACTGTAAAATGACTCCAAATTTGATATCCAATCTTCTAATTCTGGTTTCAACTATTTTCAATGGTTAAATTCAACCCAAACCTTCAGAAATTAATAGACTCACTTTGTCTTCAACAACAAGTTTTTTCCACAACAACAAAATCAAGTAATGGTGTTCTTCAATTTTCTTCCCCCAAACTAATCCAAAATCACTAGGGATACACAATATAAGATAAATGGAACATTACTCACTCAATTTCAATCATAAAATAAAAGAACGAGTTCTCAATTTTCTACAACATATATCTCTTCATTTTTCAATTTTAAGTGTGTGATCATAATTATAAGAAGAAAACGGAGAAGGAGGAGGAAGAAGGATATGAAGAAGACGGAGAAGAAAAAGGAAAAATAAGGTAAAGAAGAAGAAGAAGAAGAAGGGAGAAGGGAGAAGGGAGAAGGAGGAGAAGTTGTGGCGGAAATCTATATTTGCATAACTTTTCTTAACATGGTCAAAAGTACACCAACTCTTAAGAAGGGCATGGTGAAAATACTTGTTTTAAAAATGCTTTAAAAATTGAAAAATATATATTTTTCAATTTTTTTAGTTTTTTAAAGTATTTATTTTGTAAAAATTAAAAAAAAAATTGCAAAATATTTTTATTTTTTTAAAACTAATGCATATGTAGTCTAATGCATATGTAGTTCACTTTAAGAGAGTTTTTTTTTCCAGTTTTTATAAAAAATATTTTTTTTTAGTTTTTATAAAAACAAATACTTTAAAAAAACTGAAAAGACTTAAAAAATATATATTTTGCAAATTCTTTTTTTTTTTTTTTTTTACAAAAAATAATTCCAGTTTTTACAAAATATATGCTTTAAAAAAACTGAAAAAACTGAATTTTTAAATGGGTCATGGGGTGGGTTTTTTAAAACGGATCGGGTAAAAAAAAAGAAATGGGTCGTTTTCATCTGGTGCTGCTACGTGGCACTCCATCCAAAATAAGGGTTATATTTGTTCCAAAGTATGACGGGAAGGGTATATATAGCCCAATAGTATAACGAGGGGTATTCTTAGACCATTTTCGAAAATACAGAGATATATTTGGCCCTTTGCCGATGATTATAACATACTTCTAAAGTCACAATCCAATTCGCTTTGGCCGATCCCTTTACGCGCATATATGGCCTCTAACTTTCCTCTGAAATGTGGGATTTGCATAAGATATTCTTACAACTAACCCCACTTTCAAGTTCAACGACCTGATTATTAACGTGCAAAACCTGATTGTATACATTTTTTTTATTGATACATAGAACTTAAACTCTTGAAAAATACGTATGCAGCATAAAAACAAGGCATAACAAAAAGAATGCTAACCTCGGTAGTCTGTTCAAGTAATATTTTGTCATGTCTCAAATTCTTGTCATTCTTCTGATAACGTTCTATTGTCTTGTTAGTACTGTTAAAAGGAAAAAAATGAAAGAAACTCAGACTGTTAGTTCTCCAACATGTTACTGAATAATAATGGAACACACAATGAGGTGGTATATATGTAGTTAAATCATTAACCTAACTGTGATAGACTTTTTGAAGGGTTTGTACTAGCTCGATCGAATCCTTTGATAAGATGTATGCTTTGAATGGGAAACTGAAGATTAATTATATTGCCTTACATTCATCCAATCTACCAATTCAATGTCAAGTGTGTAATAAGGTGACCATTCTACAATATTGTCATGCTACAAACAGATATAATCATGCTTTTCCAGTCCAACTCTAAATAATAAATGAGTGAAATTACATTATTGTTCCTCAACCTTCAACTATTATGGACTCATCTTGGTAACCGGACTGAGGAGCCACTAATCACCCCACTAGTGATCTGAGTAACATGACTACAAATTACTCAAAAACTGGTACATCTTGGTGTACACCTTCCTGTTGCTCCTAGGTTGTGGTGACAATCTCTCAGCCACCTAAGTTATTACAAATCCTATATTCCATGCTAGAATTAAACACGTTAAGGAAGATGTTTACTTTGTTATGGACAAGTGGTCTCCAACGATCTTGAGGTGCGTTTACGGGTGGAACCTAAACTCATTCAACTCGCGCAACCCGTCTAAAGTTGGGCTGGTCATTGACCCACCCATTTATTGAACTCAACCCATCTTAACGCAGCCTATCTCTATTTAAAGTTGGGCTGATTTTTAGCCCAAATTTATCCATGAGTAACTTTGCTAAAATATCTTAAAAATAACTTAGCTACTATGTGGAGAACACAGAGTAATGATGAAGCATCTGTTCTTTGACTGTGACTTCTCCAAAATATGCATTACAGAAGTGCTCCTGCGGATGAAGATCAAATTACAACAGCTAGATATAGAGAGTATATGGAAAAGAGCAGCGAGAAGAGAGTTAGGACCGAAAAAGGTCGGGTGTCATGCGGAAGCTAGTAAAACAACCATTGAACGACGATACATTAGACAACAAAAAAGAAATATACTAAAAGAGACACAGACATTTAATATGGCTCTATCAATTAACCTACGTCCACGGATGGAGATGAGCAATCCACTATATAAAAGAGAGTACAAAATATCGAGAGACCAACCTCACGAAGAGGCAAACACAAGTGACACACTACACTTGTCCCGTAAAGTTCTCCCTCTAAACAAAACTCTCAAACCTCATATGACTACATTGTGGATGCTACTGAATGATAAGGAAGGATCCTCAATTTATAGAAATCCAAATATTTTCTTACAAAAAAAAAAGGACTCGCCAAATATGGGAGATTTATGTTTCCTTCTAAGAATAGGAAAGCCCAATAATGGTAAACATGTTGACCTTTTTTTCAAGAGATAGGAAAACCAATATGGTAAGAAAACCAGGATAACTCTTAATAATTCTCCCTCTTGGCATGAATTTTATGACAAAACAAACTTGATCAACTTTCTTCATATAATCTTCAACAGGTTGCATCTCCAAATCTCCACCGCAAAGTTTGTCTCAATGTGCGTAGCACTCGATTCAAATTTCTCAGACATAAATCATGATTACCGTCAAATAGGTTGCAGCTCGAACTGAACCCGCCAAGATGAACATGTCTTGAACCTTGCTCTGATACCACTTGTTATGACCGAAAAAAAATAAGGTGCCATGCGAAAACTAGTAAAACAACACTTGATCGACGATACATCAGACAATAAAAGAGAAATATACTAAAAGAGACACAAACATTTAACGTGGTTCGATCGATTGACCTACGTCCACAGATGGAAATAAGCAATCCACTATATAAAAGAGAGTACAAAATATCGAGAGAACAACCTCACCAAGAACAACACAAGTGACACACTACACTTGTACCGTAAAGTTTTTCCCCTAAACAAGACTCTCAAACCCCATATGGCTACATTGTGGATGCTGCTGAATGAGAAGGAAAGATTCTCAATTTTTAGAAGTCCAAACCTTTTCCTATAAAAAAAAAGGGACTCGCCAAATATGGGAGATTAATGTTTCCTTCTAAGAATAGGAAAGCCCAATTATGGTAAATATGTTGCCCTTTTCTTCAAGAAATAGGAAAACTAATATGGTAAGAAAACGAGGACAACTCCTAACAAAGAGAACAAGGAAATATGAGCAGGTCCATAATCTAGGCAGGAATAGCAGCACTAATCTACCACATATGATTAGCAAAAAATGATGCATTATGGAATCAAAGAGTCCGAAGGCCACAAATAATGCAACAACTGATAAAGATGGAGATAAGGTACAGAATGAGTGAACTCATGCAGAAAAAAAAGGGAAAGAAAGATAGGATTTGGATAAATCAGCTACTAGGAAGAAATGAGGTATAAGATGTCCCATAAAAAGAGGGCAGGAGGCTATAGATACTAATTTGTATTTTTATTCCTTTATTTTTTGAGTAGTTTTTTTGTAGGAGGCTGTTGTAATTGGAGTTTTTGACGGGATATTAATAAAATGTGATTCGTTCGACCAAAAAAAAGAAGAAGATCAATCCAACCTACCCATTAGACACTCCTAGGCGCGTTGCATTAGCTCAATTGACCAACTGGGTGACATATTGACAAATATCCTATCTACTAGGATGTGTTGTCAATTTCTACGTGACAAGCGTGCAATGTTGCATCCACAACTTCACTTGTGGATGAGTGTTAGAACAGAGTCCAAGGCTTGATAGACTTCACTTCAAATATATGTGAGGTTGGTAAAATGTATTAAAGACATAATTAAATAAATAAAGTATATATTTTTAATAATTTAATCGTTTAGATTGTTTGAATTCATGTATTTCTTGGATATTTATCCTTGATTTTAGTGTTTTTTAAGAGTATCATTTAGTTATTAAATATTATCTCTTAATTTTTCAAGAAGTCTTTTAGAAATTGTGATGCATATAATTTTTTAGTTGTGGAAGCAGGGGCGGATCCACCCTTAAGGGTGGGGTGGTACGTCACCCGCTAGATTGGTAAAATTATCAAATATTTATGTAAAAATTTTCTTAAACTAGGTTAAATATTTGACCCAAATCTTAGCTCATCCTGACCCAACTCATTTCGGCCCAAATAATTTTTGGGTGGGTCATTGATATTTATTGATTCAACCCATTTTGACTTGCCCAAAATCAATCCCAACCAACCGTCCAGAATATGTGAATAACAAACAAGGGGATGTATACTACCAAGAGTGGGTATTGGTGGAGAAGAGGAGAGGGTGAAGAATGGAGATACTAGAGGGGGTATGTAATAGAGTGAATTTACCTAAACATAGGTTTATGAGTTGGTTGGCATCAGTAGCGAAGCCAAGAAATTCAATAAGGGTGTTCAAACCTTTGCCAGTGGGCTATGTAAGGGTGTTCAAAGTCTATTTTTAATCAAT